CGTGCCAAAACAAAAACTAGAGTAGTACTAAACATCCGGTATTCGCCATTATTTAGTGCTTAATCAATGTATTTAAATTCCGTTATTAATTTAGTTAGTGCTTCAATCACTTCTGTAGCTGAATTTAAAAATAAAAAGTTATTGGCGAAAAAAACAAAAATAAACAAATATTGACGACGTGCCAAAACAAAAACTAGAGTAGAACTAAACATCCGGTTTTCACCATTATTTAGTGCTTAATTAATGTATTTAAATTCCGTTATTAATTTAGTTAACCACCATATGGAATTATGACGTCATGATTTAGGCGTGAAGTTGGCTGAACTTTTGGAAGCACTAACGATGAAACTTATATAATTCTTTAGTGCTTCGTTAGTAGAGGTTAGTGCTTCAATCCCTTCGTAGCCGAATCTAAGAAAAAGTTATGGGCGAAAAAAACAAAATTAACAAATAATGGCGACGTGGCAAAACAAAAACTAGAGTAGTACTAAACATCCGGTATTCGCCATTATTTAGTGCTTAATTAATGTATTTAAATTCCGTTATTAATTTAGTTAGTGCTTCAATCCTGTAGCTGAATTTAAAAATAAAAAGTTATTGGCGAAAAAAGAAAAATAAACAAATATTGGCGAAGTGCCAAAACAAAAACTAGAGTAGTACTAAACATCCGGTTTTCACCATTATTTAGTGCTTAATTAATGTATTTAAATTCCGTTATTAATTTAGTTAGTGCTTCAATCACTTCTGTAGCTGAATTTAAAAATAAAAAGTTATTGGCGAAAAAAACAAAATAAAATAAATATTGGCGACGTGCCAAAACAAAAACTAGAGTAGAACTAAATATCCGGTTTTCACCATTATTTAGTGCTTAATTAATGTATTTAAATTCCGTTATTAATTTAGTTAACAGCCATATGGAATTATGACGTCACGATTTAGGCGTGAACTTGACCGAACTTTTGGAAGTACTAACGACAAAACTTATATAATTCTTTAGTGCTTCGTTAGTAGAGGTTAGTGCTTCAATCGCTTTTGTAGCCGAATTTAAGAAAAAGTTATTAGCGAAAAAAACAAAATTAAACAAATATTGGCGACATGCCAAAACAAAAACTAGAGTAGTACTAAACATCCGGTATTCGCCATTATTTAGTGCTTAATTAATGTATTTAAATTCCGTTATTAATTTAGTTAGTGCTTCAATCACTTCTCGTCATAATTCTATATGGTTAACTAAATTAATAACGGAATTTAAATACATTAATTAAGCACTAAATAATGGTGAAAACCGGATGTTTAGTTCTACTCTAGTTTTTGTTTTGGCACGTCGCCAATATTTGTTTATTTTTGTTTTTTTCGCCAATAACTTTTTATTTTTAAATTCAGCTACAGAAGTGATTGAAGCACTAACTAAATTAATAACGGAATTTAAATACATTAATTAAGCACTAAATAATGGCGAATACCGGATGTTTAGTACTACTCTAGTTTTTGTTTTGGCACGTTGCCAATATTTGTTTAATTATGTTTTTTTCGCCAATAACTTTTTCTTAAATTCGGCTACAAAAGCGATTGAAGCACTAACCTCTTAACGAAGCACTAAAGAATTATATAAGTTTCATCGTTAGTGCTTCCAAAAGTTCGGCCAACTTCACGCCTCAATCGTGACGTCATAATTCCATATGGCGGTTAACTAAATTAATAACGGAATTTAAATACATTAATTAAGCACTAAATAATGGTGAAAATCGGATGTTTAGTTCTACTCTAGTTTTTGTTTTGGCACGTCGCCAATATTTGTTTTATTTTGTATTTTTCGCCAATAACTTTTTATTTTTAAATTCGGCTACAGAAGTGATTGAAGCACTAACCTCTACCTTGTGGTATGATCCTACTAAGTTAATACTAGATAATTAAACAATTTATTTAATAAATATAATATATCAACAATGAAAATATAGATATATATAATTTTAAGGAAAAACAAAAATAGTTCTAAATAAATTTATATCATTTAAAAATTTAATTAATTAATTTAAATTTGACATTTTTTAATATTACGAAAATAGGAATATTTACATATATATATAAATAAGAGGAAGATTTTCTTCCGTTTCTTAAGATGTTTGCCTTAAGTTTCTTTCATAAATATAAAATACGTTTAGTATGGGTAGATATATCATTTGGGTTTATAAAGTTATTGCTATGATTGACCGAGAAATGATCATATCCATTTTCATTAAGATTATTATAACTTGGAAAAATATTAAATTTTAAAATTTATAATATTTAATTAACCCCTTGGATCTTCGGAGGAAAGTAAACTAATAAAATATTCAAAATTATTCATATAAATATTTGAAATTATTTTTAAGCCTGTACTACGAATCTTACGAATGAGTGACTTTAATACTAATCTATAGTAAAAATTACTACGATATAAGATTTTAAATAATTTCATAATAAATTGAACTTTAGACAAGATTTTATTTTATTGTAAAATTATCATAAAACATGGAATACAAATATGTTCCTGTAAAATGAAATTTTCCTAAATATAGGATTCATGGCGGCATGATGCTTGATGTATCCAACAGTTACCTTTTTTACAGTGTCCGCATATTGTTGTGCTAGTGTTGTCAATTGGTTGGTTGTGTAGAACCCAGGCCTGGGGTTTGGGCCTAAAAATCGACCAAATCAGCTCTGAGCACAGACCTGGGGTTCAGGTCCGGGGTCAAATAAAAAATATTTACTAAAAATATAGTAACAGTAATTCCGCTTAGGGTTAAAAAAAATTAATCGAGGCCCCTTAGGGCTGAGAAATACCAAAAAAATAGGATTAAAATGAGTTATTATGTTGGTTAGCCTAAGCAATTATTTCCAGCTATACCATCCTAGTTAAGAATTAGATACGAACTTTCTAGCCGGATTTGTTTAATTTCATCGCTATTTTTTAAACACGTATTGATTTTTTATCCTAATTTTAGAAATGTGTGTTTGACAAATACATTTGATAACATTAGTTTTTAAATTCGGCAAGATTGAGCTTGAATGGGATATTTAAAATACTTTTGGATCGTTTTTATATAGGGGGAGGGGGAGGGTGGTTATAAACAAGGGTCTTTTTGTCCTGCCTATTCTGAAGTCAAAATATATAAAATCTTCAATTTACAATTTTTATAAAGTTTGTGTAATTTGACATAATTGGGTAATGGCTAAATACAAGCTAACTCAAGGCGTTTGCCAAAGAAAATCCGTTTACATTGAATAGTGAAAGTTAAATTTATTTTAAAAAAAATCTATATATAGTGTTGTGATGATTTAATGAAATATTGACGATTAAATTAAAACTCATCCATATAAAATATTTTATTTGCAAAAATAATTATAATAACAAAAGGAGTATTAAAAGAATTTTAAATAATGCTTCGTCTATATTTTAATTAATTTTGCAAAGAAAATAATTTTATATGGATGGGTTTTAATTTAATCGTCAATATGTATCATTAAATCATCACAACACTGTAAATAAAATAAAATTATAATTAATAAACAACTTCAATAATATTAAAAAAAATAAATGTTGATTGTTGAGGATAATAATGGCAAAGTCACATGCGTTTTTTTAAAATATTTTTGAAGTTGTTTATTAATTATTCTTTTTTTGTTATTTACTTTAAGTTTTTTTATATTTTTGAAATTAAGTTTATTAATTATTATATGATTTATTATAACATCATGTTGACGTTTACATAATGCGTTTTCCGCCCTTTCTCTCGTGGATAGTTTCCACTGATCTAAAGTTGCCTGAGCAGTCTTTCAAATATTATTTCGCGAGGGATTTACCGATAATTGCATTTGGAGTATTTCTGTGAGTAATTAAAACATTCGCTAAATTTAACTGGTCCGGAGTCCCACATTTCCTCATGTAAAGGCGTTTTATCGTATGTATATAGCACTCAACGAATCCATATTATTAAATAAGTGTTCGTTCATATAAATCAGGTATCTGCAAAACTTTGCCCTTATTAACACATCAATAGATATTTAAATAATTATTGTAAATAATTCATATTATATGCATATTGTTATGCTCTTCACAAATATAAACTCTATTTTTAAAAGAATTAATTACTTCAAAATTCTTTTGAGGTTTGAACTACTAATCTTTGAAGAAGATATTTTGTTCTAACATAAAGAGAATTTTGCACTGATCATTGTATAGTTACTTCCATCCATTTCACATAAAGTAAAATACTTACGTAAATTATAATGGTAAAAAAATCTCATTCTCACTTATATCTGATGTCACATCAATGGTAGATGTATTATCTTCTAAATCTATAATAGAGGAAATTATTAAAACCTAGAATTTATTTATATTATATATAGTATAATTAAATAAATAAAACTTGTAGGCTCTAAATTCCGTTCTAGATAAAATATAGGAAATTGTTGAAATATAAAATATGGTGGAATGGAAGTTGATAAAATATGATGTAGATATATATATATTTTTTTAAATAATATTTTAATTTAATTTTTATTTTATTTATTGCTTTTTAAGTAAAAATTAATTTTTAAAGGGATCGGGATCGAAAATTTAAAAAAATGGTCTCGATCACGATCCTCAATTTAAGTCAGGATCATAAATCCGGGAAAATTGACAAATTTAGGATCGAATCCAGGATCGTCAATCCTTTGATTCGATCCTTTAACAACTCTGATTTTACCTTTCATACATTATATCCTTAGTTCTAAATTTGGTTTATTGAAATAAAACATCCAAAAACAAAAGCTATAAAAACCAGGGTTGTGCATTTGACCGGTCAAATACAATTCGGTCAATTGACCGATATTTGACCGGTCAAATATGGTCAAATACGGTCAAATATGGTCAAATTCAAATAAATGTTTTTTACACCAATATTAACTTTATTTTGCATTTATATAATATTATAATAAATCTATGTATAATAATAAATATCATAATATTTTTTAATTCATTCTATAGTCAATGTTTCACCCTCCGTGGCAGAGTCTTGTTCCGATTCATATTCAATATCATTATTTTCTTTAATATTTTTAATCAATCTTAAATTATGATACACTCTTACTAATTTTCCTGCTGTAGAAGCCTTTAATCTATTTCTGTTTTTCGTGTGAATATTGCCCCAAACCGACCAATTTCTTTCAGAAGAAGAAGTCGAACTAGGAAATGTTAGTAAAATATTAGCGACTACTCTTAATGGGCAAGGTGGGCAAAATGCATTCCACCAACTTGAGGCCGAAATTTGATTGTTTCTTATGGAAGTTACAACTTTCCACATATTATGGCTATTAAATATACCGCTTTTGCTTCTGAAATTTACTATATTACTCAAAATATTTTGATTATCACCACCTTGTAAAATACCCAATTCTTGTATTATATTACATACTTCATCAAATTCAGTATTAGTAAGATGCTCCCCTTGATATTGGGGGTCCAATAAATAAGCAGCATTGTGAGCACATGTATTTATATCAGTTTTTCTCTTTTCAAACATAACCTTAATTTTTTTTTCTTGAGATGGAGAAAATATAGAATCATGGCATGATTGTATTATGTGTTTTTCCAAATTAAGCATCTCGTTTTTTACTTGGGCCAAAGTACATTTATCCCCTTGCACTTTCAACAATGAGGTAGTTAAAGGTTGGAGTATAGCTAAAAATTTTAAATTTTTCGTCCAAAATTCTTCGTTTAATATATTATTGGTAATTTCTATGGGACAATTATCACAAACAGCTTCTTCAACAACTGATGCTTTTAGAGCTTTCTTGCATATTTGAATTTGCTCCATACATTTTATTGACGATGCCCATCTTGTTTGGCTAATTGTACTTAATGTAGATGGTATGCCATGAAGATTCTTATTACGGGAAAATACTCCAGCTGGTATGTGTTTATTCTTGAAAAATTTAACAATTTTTTTAATTATTGAAATATGGTCACTGAAGGCGTCCAATCGTTCAAAATCGTGAAAGAATAACTGCAATGTATGCGCTGCACAACCATAACATTGTATATGATTATAAATAGATTCAGATTTTAGAATTCTCCAGGCTGCTTTCATGTTAGCGGCATTATCAGTAACTAAAGAATATACTTTTACCGGATTCAATTCATGAATTACATTTTTAAATTCCTGGGCAATATAATCTGCCGTATGGCGATTTTCCTCAGTATTTAGAAATTTGTAGAACACTGGAACAGGCGTCATCACCATAAAATTAATAATACTCTCGTTTCTAATGTTGCTCCAGCCATCTGATACAATTGATAAGTAAGGAGCTTTATCTATTATATCTGCAACTCTCACCTCCATATCACCTGACGCTTTGTCTAGAAGATATCCAGCCAGCTGCCTTCTCCTGGGTAATGTGTAAATAGGACGTATTTTTTTAAAAAATTCTTGGATGTAGGGATTTTCAGTGATGTGGAAAGGTAATTGCTCGCATATACAGCCTTTGCAAACAATTGATCCAGCTCATTTTTTTCTTTGGGATTAATTCTATCTAGGAAACCGGTTATACAAGATTGAGATTTATATTTAATCGCCTTGCTTGTAGATTGATTAGAAATAAGGGAATCAAATTCTCCTGAGTCACAAGACAAAATATTGTTCATTTGATAATCATTCTCACTAATTTCACCCAATTCTTCATTAGAGTTAGACTTAGAAGTATTACAAATTACATTTGTGATATTTTTTGTAGAGGTTGATATTTTGGAATTTGAATAAAATTTTTCCTTAATTATAACAGGGCACATAGTACAGCTGCTTAATAAATGTTTGACCATTCTATCAACGTGGGTGATATAGGACATCTTGCAAAACTTGCACACCGCTTTAACTGATTTACCATCGCGTACTTCTTGAAAATGTTTCCAAACATGATGCTTTGGTTTGACCATAATCCCTAATATATTAAAATTTAACAAAAAATGATTTTGATTATTGTAAAGTTAATCAATCTTAACTATTTTATAATTATTGACCAATTATTCCAATAATTTCTTAATATTATAAATATAATATAATAAACTTTTTACCAGAATTGAATAATATTCCGTAAATCTGACCAGAACAATTAAAATGAAAATTAATTTTAAAAACCAAATATAGCAAGTGTAAGTAAAACAAATGAGAATTAATATAATTTATACTCGGCTAAATATTAAATAAAATTTAAATTTATTAAAAAATAAGAATGAAAAAATTATATTATGATTATAATAAATCGGGTATTTTTATTTTTTTTAAGAAAAATGAATTGAAAAAAATAAAGAAGGCGAGAAACGGCAATGATTAGGCAAAAAAATAACTAAAAATATTACTATATTTAGAAAAATTACATATTTATATTTTAATAAAAAAATAATAAGATTGATAAACATGCTTTTAATGCATACTAGTTAATTATATCAAAATATTTATTCGCCATTAATATTTTAGAGTATTTGACTGTATTTGACCAGTCAAATACTCCTCCGGTCAATTGACCAGTCAATTGACGGAATTTAACCGGTCAATTGACCGACATGCCAACCCTGATAAAAACCAATGTATTCGGGCTAAATTTTATTATGTCAAACAAAGGCATATAAAATTTAGTTACGTAATACTTTGCCGCGAATTTGCTCTAACTGTGAATGCAGAATATCATGATATACTTAAAACTGAATTTGATATATTTGAAAAGTTAAATTTAATAATACATTTCTGACTTTTCAGCTTAAATTTCGATATTTAAAAAAATTAATTAATTTATTTCGTAAATTTATTCATAAATAATTATAAATCAATATATCACAATTAAAAAATATTAAATTAATTTCGCCCAATATTACTGCCCAATATTACTGCAGGATCAAACCGCTCCTTTCATAAAAAAATGCGACGTTTTGGAAAAAATTATCCAACTAGTCAATTGTATTCTTATTGTAGGAGTACCACTCACCATTGTTCTACTGCTATGCAGGGCCAAACTCATAGCTCACCATAAGCTAAATAAAGATATTCGCCCTATCGCTATTGGAACCACTTCGAGCCGATTAACCGTCAAACCATCAGTAATCAGAATATTGTTCACGATATTCAGTTACCTGTGCCCGAAACAATTAGAGGTCAACGTGAAAGTAGATGTGAGGTATTCCTTTTCATGACCCGGATGTATTTACAAACAACATCAGTGACGATATCCTATTTAAAATAGACTTTTCAAATGACTTTAACTCTTTAAAACGTAGCTTGTTTCTAGATCCTATTCTCACCCTCTACTCAGAATATTCGTAATTGATCTTTGATTGCCATGCTAGTCCCTCAAATCTCCAATTTGGAGATAGCTTTATTCCTTCTAGCGATAAAGTACAACAAGGCGAACCTCTAGGTTGCTTTATGTTTTGTCTGGACATTAATAACCTGATACGAGATATAAATGACCTGTGCAAGCTTAATCTTCATAATTGGTATATCGACGATGGTATAAGCGGCCTGTCGGATGAAGTGATGAAGGCAATCAAGAAATTAAAATCAGAGCAGTTTGGGATTGCGAATTAATCCAGACAAGAGAGAATATTGCCCCCTAGGAATCATTGACCTTAACCACGATATGTTCAATCGACAATTGAACTCTTTTGTCGTAATGATGTGATAATCTAATATCGTAGTTATGTAATAATCTAATATTTTATTTAAATCATGTCTTTATCTGTTATTTCTCTCCTTTTATATAAAATACATTTATTTATTTTTAATACATTAATTTAATAGAATACAATATATCATTTTATCTTTTTATTATGCCTTGAAGGTATTCTATTACATCTATGCTCTCCCTTTTTTTTTGGGGGGGGGGGGGGGCTCTCGATTTGGAATGGTATAAATTGTTTTCTTATTCGTATTGGATAACGGCTACTTGTACTTTCGTTCTCTAACATGGTTTGATCAGTCGTGTCGATGTCACTCTTATCATTTATGATGGCATCTTTGGTTATTGAGTCTTGTATCGGATCAATATCTTTTGTCATCAAGTCTTGTATCGGATCAATATCTTTTGTCATCAAGTCTTGTATCGGCTCAATGTTTTTTTCTATAGAGTTTTGTATAGGATCACTTTCATTCATTCGAGGTGTTATTAGTATCTGTTCTTTTTCTCTTCCTTCCTCTCTATTTTTAATATCGGGAACCTATGTTTTAACTGATTAATATGTCTTCTCCATAACCCTAATTTAGTCTCAGCTAAAAACGTCATTGGACATGTTCTTTTAACGATAATACATGGTATCCAAATATCTTTCTTAAAATCTTTTGCATATATTTTCTCGTTTATATTAAAAAAACTTGGTAGCTGAGGTATGTATGGATGTGGATAAATTGGTTTTATTAATTGTAAAGGTCCTATGGGTTGAAATTTAAGCATCATTGAACTTGGTGATTGTTTAGTGGTTATTTTTGGCGTATTTCGATAATTAAATAAAAAAATCTTGTATTTTATCATAATCATTATGTTTTTTTAAAAAATTTTTTAAAAGTTTGTACTAGCCGCTCTGCTTTTCTGTTGGTTCTAGGGTGGTACGGCGCACTATATACATTTCTAATTGATAATTGTTTGCAAAATAAACTGGATTCTCTACTTTGAAAGGGGGGCCCATTATCCGTAACAATCGTATTGGGGTAACCAAAAATAGTAAAAAGTCTTAACAATAATTTTCTTACTTCAGTAAAATTATTAGTCAATAGTTTTTGTATATCAGGCCATTTACTAAAACTATCTATTATTACTAGATATATATCTCCGTTAATGGGTCCGGCAAAATCTAAATGAATTCTTCCCCATGGTTTATTTACGGAGGGCCATTTCCTTATATTTTTTATTTCCAGGATTATTGTCTGACATATTTCACAATTCCTACCGTGTAATTCGATATCTTCGTTAATATTTGGCCATCAAACATTCTCTTGTGCCAATAATTTTGTTTTAGTATAACCCTGATGCCCCATATGTAAAAAAGACAAAATATTTACTAGTAATTTTTTTGGAATTATGATTCTTAAACCCCATAATATACATCCTGCTTCCACCGTGAGTTCATTTCGGCGCTGGAAAAACGGTTTTAGATTTTCCCCTATTATCTTCGGCCACCCAGTTGCAATGTAACGTGACACCTTTAATAATACCGGGTCATTTCTTGTGTGTGCTTTTATATCTAACGCTGAAATAAATTGTGGAGCATCTGATACTATTAAATTAATATCTAACTCTTCCCAAGTAGATGGTTCAGCGTCAATTGGAAACCGGGATAGCATATCCGCATTACTATTTTTTTTGTCCCTTTCGGTTGTAATTCATAATCATAATTGGCTTGTAATAATGACCACAGTAGTAATCTTGAGGACATATCTGTTATTCTTTTATGATTGAGTAACGATATCAGTGGTTTATGATATGTAATGATATAAAATGTTAGCCAATTAAATATTGTTTAAATTTAATTTGGACCAAATATAATTGCTAAAACTTCAAGCTCTATCTGACTATAATTTCGTTCGGCTGCATTTAATGTTCGAGACGCGAATCCAATTGGTTTTTCCTCGTTGTTAATTATATGAGATATAACGGATCCTATTCCTTGTTGCGACGCATCCGCAGCTAGAATTATCGGTTTTCCCGGATTATAATGAGTTAAAATTGGTGCTTCTGATATTATTTTTTAAAAATTATTAATTACTATTGTTTCATTATTCGTCCATTTCCATGGCAGGTTTTTTCATAACAGTCGATATATTGGCGCGGTCATCGTTGAACAGTTCTTTATAAATTTTTGATAATAGTTAATTATACTGATAAAAGCTTGTAATTCATTAACGTTTTTCGGTAACGGTGCGTCTAAAATTGCATTGACGTTTTTATTTGTAGTTGCGATTCCCTCTTCGCTAATGGTATAACCTAAGAATTCAATCTTTTCTTTAAAAAGATACATTTTTTTTGATTTAATTTCATACCGTTTGTTTCTAACGTCTTTAGCACATTTATCAAATTTTTTTTATGATTCTCAATTGATTCCCCAGTAATTATTATATCGTCCAAATATACCGCTACCCCGGGTAGTTCTTTTAATAAAGAATCCATTGCTTGTTGGAAAATGGCTGACGCTGAGGCTATCCCAAAAAGTCGTGTGAAGCGATACAATCCACTCGGCGTGTTGATCACTAACAGCTTTTTTGCCTAGTCATTTAGCTCTATTTGAAAATATGCTTCGGATAAATCTAATACTGTATATTTGGATCCATTACGTAGTGTGGCTAAAGTAATTCATTAATTC